GTTTTTAGGGCTGCTGTACATAGGGTCACTGTGAGTCTCAAGCGACTCGACGGCACCTAACAACAACAACAACAACAACAACAATAGGACAAAGTGGCAGCTAGAAATCAAGGCAAGCTTGGTGGAAACTAACAAGAAGATGAAATGAAATTCTTTAGTCTGGATCTAACTCCTGTGATTTTTACCATGTTAACAGGAGTTGCACTGCACCCCAAAAAGCAGTTGGTTCGACTCCATCAGCTACTATACAGGGGAAAGATGGGAAGTCTCTTCCCATGCATTTCACAGTCTCTGAACACCTGCTGGGGGGCCAGCTACGAATTAATTCTGACTCTACAGAAATAAGTGTTACGTACTGTCTTGGACCGTTAGATTTCTCTTCTTATCTAGAAAGTTCTTCTAAGACAGGAACTAGTCCCTAGAGCAGATACTCTGAAGGTATTTTGTTTATATTTGCTGGCTTTAGTGGCACTATGATTCACTATGAGTTAATTATTTGAAAAGTGTTGACCACACTTGGGTGGCTAACACACACCATTGGTGCTTAGTGTGCATGTCAGTGGTGCTTCTGTGGATGAAGAAACCCAATCAGTAAATAAAATCTCATCCTCCGAGTTCTCATCTCCATGCAGGGCAGGGAAATTGTCACCTAACGCCCCTGGGAAGATGGCTGTCTATTCTATGCCTTTCCAAGGAAGAACTGATGTAAAGGTCATTTTACAAAGAGAAAAATGCAGTCTCACAAACGCAGACGTGCAGGTGATGCATAGAGTGACACTGAGATCAGGTCCACATGCCACGTGTCCTAATCCGGCTCCCTGATCCTCAGTGTGAGGGGTCTCTAATCTGATTTTGTCTGGGAGTCCCACAACCTCGCCGCCACCTAAGAGAACATCCATTCCTCCTGTTCTCAGATTCACTGTAACATCTAAACTCCACTGCAGACCACACAGGAGCTTCTGCACCTCTCTGTAATCTCAATCACCAAAAAAAGGAGAAAGAACTAAAATACACTGCCATGGAACTAGTTCTGACTGGTAGTGATCCTGTGCACAGTAGGGCTGCCCCATAGGGCTTCCTCAGCTGTACATTTTTACAGCAGACTCTGCCACATCTTTCTCCCACAAAATGATTAGTGGGCTAGAACTGCTGACCCTTTGGTTAGCAGGTGGGCACATTCAGCACTATGCTACCAAATCCAGATCCATTGTATCCACAGCCTCACGTAATTTTCCTGGCTTTTATGTATGAGCAGAGACATGCTTCTCTGCCTTTTTAAGAGCCCAGCTATAATTTCTAGAAGCCCAGCTGTATTTGCTGGAAGGAGTGGCTTTCTTTCAATTGGTCCTGCAAGACAAGAAAGGAGGGGTGCTCTGATGGCCAAGTGGGTAAGGAGTTGTGCTGCTAATTCAAAGGCAGGTGGTTCAAATCCACCAGCTTCTCCTTGGGAAAAAGTTGACAGTCTCTTGCAGTGTATAGTTTATAGCCTCTGAAATTCCACTGGAGCGTCAGCTCTAGATTCTGACTCCACAGCAATTAGAGATACAAGAGGAATTCTCAACAAAAAGACAGCACTGAAACTCAACTGTTTTTTTTGATGTCTTCGAGTTAAGCATGACTCATAGCGACCCTATGAACAAACGGCCTGAAGCCCCTCTACAACTATTGACATTTATCAAAGTCCATAGAGTTTCCGGAGGCATGTTGTTTAGGAAGTGGATGCCACTCCTGCTTCCAAGAAACTCAACTACTATTTAGTATGGTGTTCTCCCATCATGTGATCTCTCCCCCCTCTACAATTCATAATTTCTTATTTATAATTACTATTTTAGCTTAACAGCCTTACCTTTTTATACACTACTCCACTCATTACTGTGGGGTCTGAACCAACTGATAGGCGACCCTCCAGCTTGTTTTCAGAGACTGGAAATCTCACAGGAGGAGGCTGCCCGTCTTTCTCCCTCGGAGTCACTGGTAGACCCAAACCAGTGTGGGTTGGCAGCACAGCTCTCTACAGCTGCGCCACCAGAGTTCCCTGCTAACTTCCTTTACTGTATCTAATTTGGCCAGTCTTTGGAAAAGACATCATGCTGGGAAAGGTCAGAGAAAGAGAAGAAGACCCTCAACAAGACGGCCTGACACAATGACAGGAACAACGGGCTCCAGCATTTCTGAGACAGTGAGGACGGCACAGGGTAGGACAAGGCTCCGATCTGTTGTTCACAGGGTCGCTGTGAGTCATGGGCAACCTGACGGCACCTGACGACAACAACAACAACAATTTCTACTTCTTGAAATGATTTCTCATTTTCAGGCTTCCTTCTCTTTCCTACTTGGTCTTTCTAATCTTTCAAGTCTCCTGGTTTTAAAACTTCTCTTTTCATTTTCTGAAAATCAGGCTTTTCAGGATCTGCAATTGGGCTTAGAATTGTTTTCTAACAACTGGCTGTCTGGGCAAGTGCTCTTCACCCAGTTCCTTTACGCAGCTCAAGCGTATGCCTGTGCACCACCGTGTGCGCATGGACATACATCCGGTTTCCACTGCCAGGCCATAAGCTCACACACACACACACACACACACACACACACACACACACACACAGAGCTTTCCTTCTTTACTCACAGAGGTTCCCCCAACTCCCTCCTACTCACCCCCTAACAGAGGAAGTGAGCAGACCTCATGAAGGCATCGCAGCTTCAGAGTCCCTCCCTTAAGCAAAACCTTGCGGGTTTGAGGTGATATCTCTCAGTCAGCCAGGCAGGCCTCAGTCAATTAGACCACCCCAAGCCCCGAGCTGCAGGCTGGCCTGCTGGTCCACTCACCTTCTTGTACTTGTGAGGGAAGGTGAACCTTTCAATGGTGTTCTGCACAGCTCCCCGGGTCACATTCCCCAACCTGTCCTCGAGCTGCAGAAGCTCCTGGGGAGAAAAATGTGGACACATGTATTCAGCACATGCAAACACATACATGCACACATGTGATGAGGATGGGCGTGGCGGCACTGAAAACTCTGAGCTGGAAGTGTCCACAGAAGCCAGCAGGAATGGAAAGACTTTCCCGATGCTGAAAAACTACAGCATCTCTCTCTCTCTCTTTCTCTCTCTCCTCTCCCCAACCCCCTTCCTCTCACCTCTAGAGACTTCTTATTATCACCTGTCCATTGGGGAGGGAGAAGAGATGCTGGCCAGGTTTGTCCTGGGCTGGTGGGATGATTCCCAAGCCAAGGGGCTTACCTCGTAGCTCTCCCGTACAGCTGAGGTGTGTCTGCTGGGGTTCAATCCCTGGAGAGCCAGGAAGTGGAGCTGAGGGTAAGGGTAGTTACGGATTTCATGAACGACCTGTTGGGGAGAAAAACACCTTGGATAAAGAGACACAGGTGCCATCTTTTCCTTGTCTGTGTCTCTCTCCTCATCAAGAGCCAGTCCCAGGAAGAATAACAAATCTATCCTGAAACCACTAACCTCTACTGGACACTTACTGCATGGCAGGTACTGTTCCAAGCACTCCATGTGATTAACTGATTTCATTGGCTTCACATATAGTGTGGCTCCAGTTGTTGTTAGGTGTCCTCTAGATGACCTGACTCAAAGCAATCTTATATACAGCAACAACATTTTCCCAATCCTGTGTCATTCTCACAAGAGAAATAGATATATGCGTGGGCTCATTCTTGTAACCATGGCATCAGCATATCTCACTGAGGGTCCCCTTTTTTTTAATGACCCTTTATGCATCAGAGAGCTGGACAGTGACTAGGGATGAAAGAAGGAGAGTTGATGCCTTTGAGCTGTGGTGCTGGAGAAGAGTATTGAATATACCATGGACTGCTATGATTACAAACAAGTTCATCCTGGAGAGGGTGAAGCCAGGCTGCTCCTTGGAAGCAAGGATTCTGAAGCTTCATCTGACATAGTCTGGACATGCTGCAAGGCGGGATCAGTCCTTGGAGAGGACGTCATGCTTGGGAAGGTGGAGGGATAGTGCAGGAGAGGAAGACCCTCGATGAGATGGATTGATTCATTCACTGGAGTAATGGGGATAGGTGTGTCGGAGACAATAAGATTGGCAAGGGATAGAGCAAGGTTTAGGGTTGTTGTACATGGGATCGCTATAAGTCGCAGGAAACCTGACGACATATAACAACAACAATCAATATGTCTTTCTCCAAAGATATGGGTGCATTTATCATATCCATTTTACTGATGGTAAAAGTGAGACACAGATGGATGAAGTAACCAGCCCAAAGCTATACAATCAAATGAGAGGAACAAAATTTCAAACCTAGGTAGTTGGGGTTCAGAGTCTATGCCCTTAACCTGCCTCAGAGTTTTGGGGTGAGGAAAGTGTGTTCTAAATCTTGGGCACAAAATTGAAGGGATGCAAAAAAACTCAGTCAACAATTCATTACCCTTAATTCAGAACTGACTTATAGCTGACCCTTCAGAGGGTTTTCAAAGGTTATAAGGTTTCCTTGAAGCAACTGTTGGATTCAATCTGCCTGCCTTTTGGTTGACAGCACAACTCATTACCCACTAGGCCACCAGAGCTCCAAAAACTCACCAATAAAGGTAATTAATGTTTTAATTAAATGTTTATTTTTAAATCAAGAATAATAAAAATAATCCATAGTAGACAAAATTATCACACCTTCATTAAAGATAAGCTCTTACTCTGTGATTGCAATAACTGTCTTTATTCACTTCACCACAACTCCAGCTGTGAGTCAGGGGTGTTCCACAATTGTAGCCCCTCAGCTCACTCTCTGTGAGACCCTTGGCCAAGCACCTCACTTCTCTATGCCTCAGTTTACCAATCTGTGATATCGTGATAATGGCCATTCTTGTAGATATTGAGAAGATTAAATAGGATAATTCACCTCAAGTGCTTGAAGTTGGACCTGGTATATAGTAGGTGCTCAATAGTATTAGCCTCTTATTCTTAGGAGATAGAGCTTCATCATGAATCCACAGCACATCAAAAGATATTAGAGGCTGTTTGTCCAAACCCCTGAATGAATGACAGAGACAAGGGCTGGAGGGCAGAATTACATCTAAGGGAGGCAGCATGAAGCTGTTTGGAAATAAGAGGATTTTCAGGCAAACAGCACTTCGCTGCACTGGGTGGATGTCTTCACTTTAAGTCCACGCAGCTTGCAATGCTAGCAACTCAAAGGCCCTAACAGCCCACTCCTGGGAGAGGCAGAGCTGGACCAGCAGGCCTGGACCCAGGACCCTCTGGGATGTCTTTAACCCTCACACCCATGAGATGGGAGAGGTCAGCATCACTACTGAGCTGCAGACTTAACTAAATGAGAGAGGCACAGAGCTGTCCAGCTGGCTCTTCACCCCACGCCTGTTCCCTACAGAACACACACAGCCTGCCATGCCCCTCGCCATACCCGCGGATCCTGCTGCCCTCGGCAGTACCAGCGTCTAGTTCTGTGGGTTCCCTTTCTTTTCCCTCGGAAGCCAAGGCAGACAGACAGAAGGACTGGGAGAGGTGGCACCAGCAGGAAGTGGTCCCTTCCAGGCCCGGCAGGTCACTCACCATCTGCGTGGAGGAGGAGTTCCGGGGGAAGTGATGCATTCGAGGAGTCGCCAGGTAATGCTGATAGTGCTGAGGGATGGGCCGCACCTGGAACTGGGCAGGACTCAGGCCAGCGTCCACACTGAGATCCCTGCAGGGACACAGCCACAGTGAGCCCCAGGCCACGAGAGTCGTCACCACGCCATGGCAGGGACGTCCGACACACACAGCGGAACCAGAGGCACAAAGTGCCAGTGTCACAGGGGACCTGAGATCACCCAGCTCTCATCCTCCCCTTGCGGGTCACGAGCCAGAGGCTGAGAGGAAACGGGCTAAGCCAGATCTGACGCTCAGACACTGACGCATGTGGACATCAAGTCAGAGTCGATTCGTGGCGCTGCCACTGGGGCTCCAAGGCTGTAAGTCACGTGCAAGAAGAGTGCCCATCTTTCTCCCTCAGAGCTGCACGAACAGCCTTTAGGTTGGCAGAGCATCTTCCCGCGGACCACACCACTCCAGGAACCTTAAAGCAACACTGGCCAAGTGGAATCAACTCTGACTTAAGGCAGCCTCGGGTTTGTCCGGGTGCAACATGCATCATAGCATTTTTTTTTAAATTTTATTACTTTTGTGTGCGTGTCAAATCAGATCTGACTGGTACAGGAGGAGATTGTCCCTCCTTCCCCGGCAGAGCATCTGGTGGATTCGAACCGTTTGCCTCTGGGATTGTAGTTGCAGCTCCTTGCCACTGCATCATAGCATTTTTAATAAATGGTTGTTTGCAGTTTGCTTGCCAGGTCGGTCTTCTGAGGCACTGGGCAGACTGGAACCTCCATACATTTGGTTGACAACTAAGACATTAGCCATTTACACCACCCAGGAACTCCATCTAAGTCTTATAAGACCTCTTGAAACTAATAGATTCCAAGACAAAGCCCACCCTCTCCTCTGAAAGTAAAGCAGCTGAAAGAAGACTCCAAATAGAATAGTCCAGGGAAACAGAACAAAGGAAAGACCAAGTCTGAAAACAAAACAAAACAAAACAAAAAACAGAGGAGGGAGCAGAAGCTCTGTTTTCCACATTGTAGAGAAAACAACCAAACAAGACCTGAGAAGGAAGAAAGGCTCTCCTCGGCCACTCACTCCTCCTAAAAGCATCAAAACGCTCTCTTCACTTACAAACACATACAGATGATCAGATGGACAAATACATAGATAGATAACAATAGGAAGATAAACGTAACCATAAATAAAAAAATAAACAAGTAAATATGCTGGAAAATGGCAGAAGACTCCTTGAGAAATGGGTAACCTCAGGCCTGAGGGAGAAAATGTGCCTGTGAGTGTGGAATAATCAGAAGCAAGGATGCCATCGAAGCCCACCAGGGTCACGTCAGAGGACCTTGAGAACAATCCTGAAGAAGCTCCCATTGGTCAGAGTTGGAACAATTTGCACATCAATGAGCTTAACTGCAGGACTGAAACACATCCTGATGTTGAAATGCATGAAAGTGTTGGTCACCTTTAAAGAATGTAAGGGAACTAGCCACGTCTTTATCTTGAAAACTTCTAAATAAAAGTAAAGGGGGGAGTAAAGAATCAAGACTTTATCCTGCCTTTGTTCTATTAACTGTACTTCAGAGCAAGTGATACTTGGTGAGGGGAAATTTGTCTATAAAAATACTCCAGCTAACCAACGCATAAGGAATGATGAGATTACGTGTCACTGTTTTGCATCCCCTAAAGAAATAGTGACAAAAACCTGTGCTGCAATCCTGAAGGTAAGCAGTTCGAATCTACCAACTGCTCCACAGGAGAAGCTGGGCAATCTCCTCCCATATGAGTCACAGCCTCTGAAAACCCACCTGAAAGTGAGCTATGGGTCGGTTCTGACTCAATGGTAAACAACAAAGAAATAAAGGCTGTAGGCAAAAATCATCAGTTGCTGCGAACTCCACATAAAGGTTGATCAGCAGACAGTAAGTGCTTTCTGGAGCAAGAACACAAAACCACCTATTTTTGCCAAGAACAAAAATGTGAACATCTATTTGATCAAGCCAATGTAAAGGAAATACAGGAAACTGAGGCAAACATTACATGATGACCATGGGGGACATGAGCAGAATCCAATAAATAGACAGGCAATAAGTGATGGCTGATAAACAATGCCATTGAATTACACATGTGAAAAATGTTGATATGGTATCTTGTTACATTCATACTTACCATGTTGTTGTTGTTGTTGTGTACTATCAAGTAGTCAGAACTAACCCGAGCTGACCCTCCAGTGGGTTTTCAGAGGCAGTTAATCTCATGGGAAGAGATTGTCCATCCTTCTGTGGAGCAGCTGGTATATTTGAACCACATGCCTTCGGGATTGCAGTACAGTTTCTTACCAAAGTGAAAGTAAACTATACCTTCAAGTACATATATACGTATGCGGGAGTTCTGGTGGCTTTGTAGTAAGGAATTATGCTGCCAATCCAAAAGCACATGGTTCGAATCCACCAGCTGCACCAGGAGAGAAAGATGAGCATTCTCCTCCAGTGTGATTTACAACCTCTGAAAACCCATTGGAGGGTCAGCTATAAGTGGATTTTGACTCAATAGCACGTAAAAACACCACCAAATACATGAACATATACACATACCATTTTTTTCCTCACCTTTTCATCTCCAGAATAATACATCATGTGATCATCTGACTCAATGGTTTTTGCAATCACTTGTTATGCATCAGAGAGTTGGACAATGACTAAGGAGGATAGAAGGAGAATTGATGCCTTTGAGCTTTGATGCTGGAGAAGAGTATTGAGGGTACTGCTAGGAAAACAGATTCATCCTGGAGAGGGTTAAACCGGGTGGCTCCTTGGAGGCAAGGATTCTGAGGCTCCGTCTAACATACTTTGGGCATGTTGCAAGGAAGGATCAGTCCTTGGGGAGGGACATCATACTTGGGAGGGCGGAGGGATGGTGCAGAAGGGAAAGACCCTCTATGAGGTAGACTGATTCAGTGACTGGGGTAATCAGAATGGGTGTATCAGAGACGGTGCGATTGGCTCAGAACAGAGCAGAGTTTAGGGCTGTTGTACATAGGGTCGCTATGAGTCACAAGCAGCTCAACAGCACATAACAACAACAACAATACACATACCACATAAACGTAAAGAGAGAGAGAGGATAATATAAAGGGAAAATAATTTATGCTTTCACTTTCGAGGTAATAACAGGAATTAGAAGTCTTTTTCCACTGTAAACCATGAGGAAATTGGTCAACATACATGCAAAGCCGTCTTCAGACACTGGTGAACAGGCATACAGCTCTGTGACCAATGGGAACGGGGAACAAACAAGCAAGCATGGTGGGCTCTGCAACCCCCTTGACGTTTCTCCTGCAGGTGCATTCCAGATCACAGAGAAGGGAGGGGCCTCGAGCAGGGCACCGTGGTCTTGATGAGCTGAGCATTTAGCCATCTTAATTCAGAGAATCCAAGGTCTCTGAAAATTTGCATTTCTGCTCATTGATATGCAAATTGTTCCTAAAGTTTAGGGAGGAGGGAGCTACACAGAATGAGAACTCGAGAAACCTGCAGAGGTTCACCTCGAAACTTGGCTGAACAGGAAGATGAATATATAAAGAATGAGGAGTCCTGGTGGTGTGATACTGTAAGAATGGAGGCATGAACTGAAAGGTCATCAGTTCAAAGTCACCAGCCATTCCATGAGACACAGGCAGTTCACCCTTGTAAAGACGGACATCCTTGGAGACCCTGTGTGGTATTTCTACTCTGTCCAGGAGAGTTGCTATTAGTTGGACTCCACTTGGCTGTGGTTTTGCACTTGGAATGTGTGGGGTAAGTGTCCATCAGATTAACAAGGAGCAACTAAAGAACAGAGGATGAATCCCAAAGCTCAGCAAGGCTGGGAGATTTGCATTGCAAACAATTAAAGCACAAAGTCCTTGATGACCACTGGGGACACTCAGTGTAGCAGGGTCCCCAGAAAAGCCTCGAGGCGTGTTGAGCTTTACTAGAACAGGGCCGTAATAGACTCTCCTCTAGAGATGCCCTAAACCAATCAAGTCACTTCCAACGCATGACGACTCCATGATATCAGAGTAAGACTGGCTCACAGGCACTCTAGACCTTCTGAGAAAAAATTTAAAAACAAGCCTCAAAAAGATCAATCTCCACCACAACAAGATAAAGAATCCAATAGAAAAATGGGCACAGGATATGAACAGGAACTTCACCGAAGACGACATTCAGATGGCTAACAAGCACATGAAGAAATGCTCAAAATCCCTAGCCCTAAGAGAGATGCAAATTAAAACAACTATGAGATATCATCTCACCCCAGTCAAAATAGCAAAATTTAACAGAACAGCAAGCAATAAATGCTGGTGAGGTTGTGGAGAAACTGGAACCCTTATTCACTGTTGGTGGGAGTGTAAAATGGTGCAACACCTGTGGAAAGCGGTATGGCGCTTTCTCAAAAAGTTGCAAATAGAGATACCATTTGACCCAGCAGTTCCACTACTGGGAATATACCCTGAAGAGACCATAGCTGACATCCAAGCAGATATATGCACACCCATGTTTATTGCAGCTTTGTTCACAATAGCAAGGAGTTGGAAACAACCTAAGTGCCCATCAACAAACGAATGGCTAGAGAAGCTGTGGTATATTCGCACAATGGAATACTATGCTGCATTAAAAAACAAGGAACTCATGCAATATTATTCAAAATGGTTGACTCTGGAAAACATTATGCTGAGTGAAATATCCCAGTCACAAAAGGACAAATATTGCATGGTGCTACTGTTGTAGAATGGGACTGTCCTTGGGGTTGGGGAGAGACTGAGTAAGATGGGTTCAATAACGTATACTGCACTGAAACAGAGAAGGGAGAAAACTGTTTGAAAGAGATATGTGATTAGGTATTTCTGTCATGACAGGAGTCTAGAGCAATGGCTACATGGTGGAGTGGACCTGGGGGAGGGTTTGTAAAATAATGAAAGAATCTTTTCTTTTACTTTTCCAAGAGGGTAATGTCTGGTGCGGGGGAGTCTTGGGAGGGGACAAATCTACAACAATGAATGAATGGAAATCCAAAGCCTCTGTAAATTTTCACTGAAATTAATAACAAATT